AAGAACCAAGATGCATTATGTAAAGGTACAATTCCCAATGAGAAATGTAATTGTGTTGTATACCTACAATGTACCAATAAAAGAATTTAATAGAAAAAAAAAAGAAAAGAAACTTAAAATGACCAAACTGAATTGTATTGTCAACATATTCTCACACGTAAGAACTGAAAATATTTTCCTCATTAATATTTCTTTAGAAGAGTTTTGAAAACTTATTAACAGATGAAACAATTTGACTAAGTTTTCAAAACTCTAGGTCTACTACATTCAAATTCCTCATTTTCCTTCAACTTACTGGCTACCAGAACAGCCCACTCTATTTTTCACTGCCCTTATGCATTAACTGATTGTATTCTTTGATTTCCTTATCCTAGTGTGTAGATTCCTTTTTAACCACAGGTCCCAAAAGCGACACTAGCTGCTTTTTGTTCCTTGGAGGTTTTCCTCCTTTCAGGATAATTATATTCTGTTGTGCCTTTTATTATCGTGTCTTTTAGGATCTCCTAACCTTCTACACTCTTGGGCTTTATTTAATACTGAGCTCCCGCCTCAACCCTACACACTAAACCATGCTCATTAGGTTTCTTAATCCTCCATAATTTGCTTTCATGAAATCTTATACCTTTGAGTTGCTGTGTTCTATAAGCCCATTTCCTTAGTATAGCTATTCCAAGCAGTTCAAAATCAACAACCACTAAATATAAGCTTATGCATTTTCTCAGCTAACATGACTCTATAGAAAAAAATTGTTTTGAATGTTTATGGACCACGACACTATACCATTTAAGCTGGTATTTTATTTTCTAACCCAAACATTACCTGAGATGGTTAAAACTGCAGAATTAGCCTACCAGTCATCCTTAACATATAGTTATTAACTTATAAGTATCAGGTTCTTCTCATTTAGAATAGAGCAGAATTAACAGTATTCTGATGTTGTATTAGTGATCAGTAAATTCTAACTATATCTTTGCTTTATATCCAGAATTCTGAAGAAGATAAAAACATCTTTTGCCAGTTATTCTGCTTTTCCAAATGGATTGTTTTTGAAAGACATGTGTGCATTCTGTACAGTCAACTCTGGGTCTTTCCAGATGCTCATTCTCTATTTTTTTTTTCCCTTCCTTTCAACTCATTACAAGCACCTTTCCTGAAGGGTATGTTCAGAAGGGCCAAAAAAGCATATATTTTCAATTTTTATTTTTAACTTCCTAGGAGCCTTGATTTTTTAAAAAATCCTGGTGGTGGATTGAAAGAGTTAATGGAGTTTCCAAAGGTGCCTAGCTTAATCTAGCAAAGTTTATACTTCAACCCTGTGCATGTTAACTTGTGATCCTCCCCATCGAGATGATAGAAAGCAAAGCCAGTAAGTTCTTTATTTAATTGGTTTGCATCCACACAGTGACCTCCGGGGCTCTGTTTATATAGCCTATCATGCAATATGCTCCACAGTTCTCTGCCTCTTTCAAAAGTATGTTTCTCCTGAGATTTGATATATGGCTTTCATGTTTAATCACTACATTAAACTCAATGCTCTGCTTCCTCCAGCATCAACTAACTTCCCTTCTTGGGAGGTGGGGAGAAGAGCACAGCTTCTTGCTACTTCTGAACATAAAAGGAAGTCTGTTTTACTCTATTAGTAAAATCACCAACTCCACATGATCCTAGGAAAGCAACATTATTACTACATCAACTAGGAAGCAGTGTTAAAATGGAAAGCTTAAAACGCCTTTAGAAAGAAAGTGGGCTCACTTTACTCAATTGACAAAGCCAGTCGACTTATAAATCAACAACAACAAAGGGTTTTTAATCAATATATAAATCAGTACAAAGAGACCATATCTAAATGGCAGCTAAAATTTCAACTAAATTAATTGTGAGGATAGAACATTGCTGGGATTCTCAGATCAGAATTAATTTTGATTGAAAGATATCTTAACTACACAATTCATCGTAAATAGAATTTTCACTCTCTTTATCTGAATGTGGACATGGAGGTGCCACAATCTTTTCCACAATTTGTATGTGACTCAAATTTCCAAGATAGATGAAAAGTGACCCATTTCAATAAGTTGAGACAAGATTTTTAGGTTTTAAAGATCACATAAATGTACATATTTCACTTCAAAATATTTCAAACAAAAATACAGATGAAATAAATACGGCAAAGTATTAATAATAGAACACTTTAGATAATGGTTATGTTGAGTGCTCAATGTACTTACTATCTTCTATTTTTAAATACAGTTGAAATTTATCATTATAAAATTTTTAACTTTATAAGAACAAGGAGGTTATTTATGGAATGCTTTCATACAAATAATTTATAAAATTCTGATTAAAATATTTATATTAATCTCTAGGTTGATCATTTAGTATACATTCAACAACTGAAATTTTTTACCATGTAGTAGCAATGAAAATATTCCTTTCTTCTTCCAGAATTTCATTTTACAGCCTGAAACTCATTTACACAAACTATATATGTGCTGTAAGCTCTGCATAAATTGGGTACTTTCACTGAAAAAAAAATAATGTGTATAAATACACATGCACATATATATGTCTTTACCTCTATATATACGTAAACATATATTTGTATATATATATACATATATACAGAGCTAGTTTACATTCTGTATTTGATGAATAGAGAATCTGAACCTATTAAAGTTCTACAATTAATTGTTCCAATATGCTACCTTATTTCTAATCAAAATTTTCATGATATAAAATGGCAAAATATACACTTCTCACTTCCTTTCTCACGATTCCTCATTCAACACTATGCTAAAAGAGGTTATAAGAAAAAATACCTGTTTCTTAATTTGAAACCATATGAATCTGCTCCATATTTTAATTCAAAATCAAAAGAATAACTAAACATTTAATCAGTATTCTCCATAAGGTTTTAAGAGTACAGAAATTTGTAGTTTTCAAAGACATGCAGATGTTGTTCATGACAGACATTTAAAAAAAAACTTGAAGAAAACAAGTGTCACAAGAATGAAAGATATGCATCTGTACAGATGTTATAACTATTTCTATGATAAATCCTAAGCTCTGGAACAGGAATTTAGCAGCACGTTTTAATTTGCATTTGAAAATTTGACATAAATTATCTGACTTTGACAATAGCTACCAAATATTTCAGTTCAGTGCACTTTTTCCAGATTTTACCTTTAGAGTGAGCCTAGTGGACTTTTCCCTTTTTAAAAGCTATATTCCAGATCTTGTACCCTAAAACCAGTTGCCAGCTTGATGTTTAGAGAATTAGTTCAGATCATAATGAAGTGAGTTCTTACTAATATTTGGTGACTGAATGGCAGAGATAAAGAAGACATGCAATTTTATACAAAAATTTACTCTTCATCAATTTTATTCATTTATGTCTTACTATACTTAGAGATGTTAACTACTGAAAAGTGAAAAAGACTTTCATTCAATTTTGAGACACCTTCTACAAATCAATAAAACAGGACAATGTCATCACACCAGTAGTCTCAATTTAGTAAACATTATTTATCAAAATGTTTATCTTGTACTATCACCGGCATATATAATTGAGGAGCCCCAAAATACACAAAATAGATGGAGTTCTGGAATCTTACTTCTTTTTTTTCTTTTTGGTATTGGGGATTCTTACTTCTTAAATTAGGTGATTTTGTTAACTTAAATATACAGATTTCATAGTTAAAGAGTCTCACCAAATTGGAGAAATTCATAAAACAATGCCATAAAAGATGAAGCTTATGAATAAAAGCATACTAGCTCCTTTTTTTTTTTTGGTACCGGGGATTGAACTCAGGACCATGGCACTTCCAGGCAAGTGTGGCACCACTGAGCTAAATCCCTGGCCCTGCTAGCTCCTTAAGAATATTATGAAAAGAAGTTACAGCATTTGGTTCTTCTGTAAATATAAGAAGCAAAAGCTTTCAAGTTAAATTATTGTGAAACTCATACCATATTAAGAATGTCATTTTTAAACTCAAAAAGTTGTATATTTTTCTGCAAATTATTTTCTCTTGTAATTAAAAAAAATTTTACTCCCAACAGCATAATTTGTTGTTTATCAACAGGGCATAATTTGTTGGTGTGGAACAGGAATCACATGCTGTGTTTTAATTATAAACACCATCAGAAACTCTGAAGTATACACAAATCTCAGCAAGTGACATAAAGACAAACTTGAGGATCACATAGCTATATTCATGCTTAAGGAGAAGAAAACATCTGACAAGGTTTATATGCCACTGTGAGCATATAAATGCTGTCTTACTAGATAGAAAACAATGGCTTAAAGTGATTTTAATTTTCCATCAGTACCCAATAAAACATAAAAAAAACTAAGTCATAGATAAATTTCTATTTCTATTGGCTGAAACTCTTTAGACTTTGCTGGATTAAATGCATCCATCACCTACATTTGATGACAAAGCACTTCCAGAGAATCTTCAAATTATCTGATATGGTTTGTCCATGGAGAAAATAATACTCTATTTTAATCTGTAAGTATGTACAACTCCCATCGTTGAACTGTGCTGATCTAGAATATTTAATGCTTACTGCAGAAATGTAAAGAATTCCTAAGTGAACATCTCAAATTATGATTTGGAGCACTCAATAGCCTTGCTTTCAGGAAAGGCTCATGTTTTGAAAAGAAACTAACCAGTCTGTTTAAAATCAAACTGTTTCTTAATCTGATAAATTACTCCTCAGAGAATAATGTAAATAAAATATACTCACAATAACATTATCAATGTAAACATACCTGAACCGGAGTCAAATTTGGTTTCTGACCTGCAAAGTGAAAAAGAATTTTTATAATGTAAAAATTGTTTGTAAAATAACAAGTTATTTTATGGAAAAATGTAATAGAGATTTCTGTATATTGGTGATGAAATAAAATGTTTTTCTACAGTGTAAATATATATTTAACAATTTTAAATGCATGAATTATCATAGGTCCCCTAAATATGCACATATCAGTAAGTGATAACACAGTATGGAAAAAGTAACTTTTTCAGCTGATTTTTGAGTGAAAAGAGGATAAATTTTCTTTAAATACACCCAGTATCTATAAATTATTTGTTTTGGTAATATAATAAAACAATAAAAAACCCAAATCTATAATTATACTGTTTTACTTTATCAAAGATTTCCAATTACTTAACACCAAGTAATTTTTCACTAGGTTCTTAGGTCACAACAAATGAACCTAGTAACCCCATACATTTAATAAGAAGGAAAAAAACTGAGCCCTTGTGGGAACATTATGCTTCAGATATAGGTTAATACTAGTTGTAAATTCAGAAGCCTTTGAAGCTCTCAGTTTGGCTGTGGGAAAGCTTCTGCTGGGTAATTACTCTCAAGACGCCGCTGATGTGCTGTCAAGCAGAATTAACCCTGTGACTAGGCCTATCTACACAGACTACTATAAGACAGCATTGTCTATATCTAGCTCTCAAACCAATTAGTGGGCATGCTCCAGTCGGATTTATATCACACATTAACAATCAATAGTATATATGTTCACAGCTGCCACAGCAAGATACAAAAACGGAGCAGCAGGAGTCCTGTTAAAGGATGTTACATTGACAGAGAAGCTTTTTTTCCTGGGGAAATGTAGTTAACTAACTGGGAAAGGAGATTTCTTTGAAATTATGCCAGGGTACCAAAGCACTTTTGGAAGTAGTGGCTTTCTTCACTTAAATTAGCTTCAAAGAAAAAGTCATCAAAGAGGATGAAGGAGGATAAGCAAGACGCTTCTTTAATCATAAAAATTCATTTTCTCAAGTACTTTCAAAGTTTCACCTGATATTTAAACACAAAATATATGAATATATAATGATAAATATATAGAATTGCAACTATACTTTTCAATTACACACACACACACACACACACACACAACTGCAATCATAGTTTTCAATTATCACCACTGTAATCTAGGTCCACATTTTCCCAAACCCAATCCTATCCCAATTCTCCCAGTCCTTCTACATTTCCCTGCCTCCTATCTCAGGAGCAACCTATTTTTCCTTTTTATCCTTTCCAGTTCTGGAAAGCCCTGAACTTACTTCCCCTGTGATTCCACCATCTCTGTTAGCAACCCTAATGACACTTAACACATGTCCCCCTGCCTTCCTTATCTATCTGCCCCTCTAGACTGCAGCCACACCTTACTAACCTTGTAGTCACAGGACCTATGGAGTGCCTGGTGCTTGTGTTTGGATATCTATTAAGGGAAATTCCTGCATCTACACATAGCCTGTGTCCTCTCAGCACATAGAAAAGTCAGAGCTGTTGTTTCTTCTCTGTGTGCTAAAATGCATTTTTTTATTTCCCCTGAAGCCAAGCTGTATTAGTTATTCTTGCTCCCTACCATATCTTCAATGTCTGGCTTTCTATAGCTTCCTCCTCTCTTCAGCACATAAATGATCCAGAATATTTCTAAAGCCCTACAGTACTGAACATTCAAAAGAATATAGCTACTCTATTAATAATTAAAACATGAAACAGAAGTTAAAACTATAAGGTTTGAGAATAGGGAAAATTGTTCCTATTGTATAAGTTAAATAAGATTTCCATGAAATTTTACATACACACAGGAAATACAAAGCACTCCTCTATTTTACTATGGAGTATGATCATTTCTCCTTGAGAAATCCTCATAAATTCTCCTTGATGAAAGTAAGTAAAATATAAATAGGAACAAATAAATAGCAAGTGCAAAAAAATACAATAATGTGGATTATACAACAAAGACCAACAGGAATATTCCTTCATTTATTCTAACCATATTTCTTCTATGCGTAAAATAAATAATGATGTATAATATATTTGCATCTTCAAAGACACCCATTTTATCCCTAAATTACATACTCATATCTAAGCTTAAAATTATTTAACCAGTTTTTTTGGTTATAACAAAAGATAGTGATTATAGCACTGACGATTACTGTTGTCTAGCATTCATTCTCTTCTTTCTCATTTTAGAAGAAGAATCTTCTGAGTTTTAAATGAACACATGGATGCTTGGTAAGATAAGATTTCTACACTATTTCCCATCTCTTTTATGGTTAGTTGTGATCATGTAAACTACTTTGCACTAGGCCCCACCTCTTAGAGGCTTCACCATTTGTACACCACCACATTGGGACCAAGACCCCAGCACATGAACCTTTAGAGAACACACTCAAACCATATCCAAATCATAGCAAGGCTTAAACTAAAATTTCCAAATATTTAAGGCTAAAAACGAACATTTTATGAATTTTATAGCAGAAAGGGAAGGTACTAAGAGAATTCAAGTATTGTTAATATTTTTGATAATACTTTTTAAATAATTAAAATACATAATATATGTAGTCTTTTGATAACAGAACTGAAGATTTTCAGAAGACTCAGTTGGGCAGTTTTAGTCTTCTGGTTAGAGTTGTATACTTTTGGACAGATTTATAAAACTACCGCTTTCTATTTACAGAGAATAACCCATTATCTTTAAAATGTCCATGTGAATTGAAGTCAAAAGATTTATTTTACCTTTTGAGGAATCCATAAAGTCTCATGAACCACTGCTTCTTGCTCAATGTTCAATTGTATCAAAAATGTTAAAATGGGAATTGTGTAAGTATGAACTGTGGGTTAATGAAGTCAGGGCTCCAAAAGATTTCAGACAACGTGTAGGAAAGGGAGGGTGATGCTCTTAACTGTTTTTAACTAACAATTCTATATGCTATGATGGCAACTAACAATTCTAGCTGCAGAAAATCATCAGAGGGAAGGAGCAGGAGTGACAGAATGACTTTTTCTGTAAGTGCATTACATGTGGCAATTCCCTAGCAGATTTTCTAGGACAATCTCAGTCAAACAATCTATCAGATTGTCTGTTTGGGCATGGAAATGTTTTAGAAATTCCAATATTTCAGGGTCCTAGTAAAAGTTTAAGAATTTCTTCTTATCCTTAAAAGTAACCCACAGGGAAAAAAAAAGCAAATCACAGGTCTTATTACTGAGACTAGTAATAACAGTAGTGAATATTTACATGCCTTCTTAAAGTTACATAAATACAATACACTTCCTCTATTAGGAAAGCTCCATCTTCCCAATCTAGTATATCTTTATTGCCAACCGTTGGCCACCTAACTTTTAAAGTTTTCCCCATATATTAGGTTAATTAAAAATTCTTTGAAGAAGCATAACCAGACTACATTAAATCTTTTTAGTTCGATAGCACCAGTAACTCCTTTCTTGCACTCATATGAGCTGTAATATAAATTTGTTCATATTGTTATTTGATCATATTGGAAGAGTTCAAAAACAGTAGCAGACACTATTAATTACCTATGTAACTAATAGCCTACCTAAGTCTCTCTTTCCCTCAATTTTTGAAGGGTACTTAAACTCTGCCCACTCCAGGGATGAATTATAATTGAGCTAAGCCAATCATGCTAACCCTACTTTTTGTCAGTGACTAGTTCAAGAATAAGCACTCAAGTGGGTTCTGAGAATGAAAAAGTAAGGTGCAATCTCTGGGTGATATTTCTTGGAAAAGCCATTCTTAATGAAAAGAAGATGATTAAGGGAGAAGGTCCATTTTCTACTCTCCCTCTTTCTTGCCTTCAGAATTACCATGTAAGGATATTGGCTTAGAACTGCTGTAACAATCTTGCAAAGCTGAAGAAAAGGCCAAGAGAATCTTTAAAATGCCACCCCAGAACTCTTATATAATTCTAATACCATATCAGTCTTTTCTAGAGTTCTTGTTAAGTACCTCAGCTATGTGGTCAAAGCTAATATCAAAAGTGACATCTTATTGTAGTATATACCCTTGAGATGTGAATATGGTGTGTTATCTCTGCATTTTTCCTCCTCAAAATCCATAACCTTGGTCAAAAACACCAGATATATCCTAATACAGAGACACTCTACAAAATACCTGACCAGTATTCCTCAAAACCATTGAGGTCTGAAAAATGAAAGAGGTTGAGGCAAAACAATTTTCAAGGTCCAGGCCAACCTGAGTGATTTAATGAGATCTTGTGGCAAAATAAAAAATTAAAAAACATGAGATAGCTCTGTGCTGGAGTGTCCCTGGGTAAGAAACTGTCACAGAAAAGAGAAGAAAGGAGATGTGAGGACTACATATTATGTGACAGCTTAAATAGGATCCTGAAACAGAAAAAGGATACTAACTGAAAACAAAGGAAATCTGGGCGGGGGATTTAGCTCAGTGTCACCACAGCTGCCTCGAAAGCCCAAGGTCCTGAGTTCAATCCTCGTACCAAAAAAATTAATTAGTTAATTAAAAAAAAACACACAAAGGAAATCTGAATAAAGGATAAACTTTAGTTAAAAACAATATTTAAACATTAGTTCATAAATTGTGACAAATACACTATACTAACAGAAGATGTTAATAATCGGGGAAACTGAGTGAGAGAGTATGGGAGAACTCTGAATTTTTCCAATTTTTCAGTAAATCTAAAATTGTTTTAAATTTTTTTATTTTAAAATGCCAAAGAAATTAGACTATTACAGTAATTCAGGTCAAGCACAATATAGTTGATGGTGCTTAGCCTATAGCAGTAGCAATAGACATGGCGAAGAGTCAGACTGAAGGTGCACAGAGAAAAATCCAGTGAGGATTAATCTGCGGGTGAGAGAAAGAATGTTAAGGGTGACTCTTCACTTCTTTGCTCAATGAACAGGGTAGATAATGAATAGTCCCTTTGTTTATACATGGGGAAAGGAGGGAAGAGTAGGCTTTGTTGCTTTAGGGTCATTTGTCACTTCTA